GTTGATATGCATTGATCAAAGGATGAGGATAAAGAAGTGCATATTATAAGAGAAAGCATGAGTCGACATAGATTTATAATTTTAATTTATAATAGTGAAGAAATCGCTACATCAGGGTCACTTAGTACATGGACGTCAATCTAAATTTGCTTTACCAGATGAAACCAGACAATATTGGCCACATTACAAAAAGAGACTATAGTGCAAAAATCTAGGATGTACAAAAGTAATACTATTTATTTATGTAAAAAGTTTAGAATGCATTTACACCCCGAATGTTTCGAAAATTTTCACCTTAAAATTTAATTTACGTTTAAGATACAATATGTTCCTTTATTAAAAAATGTACTGTTTTTCCTTGAAAATGAGAAAAAAAAATTTTTTGGTTATGGATCAGTCCTAATTTATGTGTTTTTAATCGAATCTAATAAATTAATTGTCAAATTTCTCTTTGTATATTGAGCGTCCGTTAAAGGTTTAATACTATATAAAGAATAAACTGGCCTCAAACTTACTTTACTTACCTTAAAACTATTTTAAAGTTAATAATAAAGTATATTTAATAAATATATTCCCAATAACACACTACGCTTATGCACAAATGTTTATAATCTGGAAGGAATAAACTAAGATATCATATTTCTCTCATTAACATTCTTTCTAAGAACGTAAATATATATAGACCAGCAAAATATTGATAAGTTTACCGATGTTTCAAACTATTCGTTGAACTTGTCTCACTATACACTCGTGAATCGCATTAATTTATATTGTTACGGGGGCAAATTTATCTTACATGGGTTACAAATTGACATACTTACATGGGCGAAGCATACACAATAAAAATGACCCCGGTAAGGATTTAGTAATGAAATTTTACATGGTTGCCGCTACCGTTTAGTTCAATTTGTAGATTAGTCACCTTTAATTGAAAATTGTTCATCTATAGTTGAAATTGTCAGCTTAAATAGCCGACAAAGCAAAATATAACCTTATGGTAATCCAGACATATGCTCTAACGACTACCCACTCGGATGAAGAAATTGAAAAAATTTATGAGGACCTAGAAACAGCGTTAAATGGCACACCACCATACTACACAATAATTATGGGTGACTAAAATGCGAAAATGGAGTTTAACACGTTGAACGCCGTAATCTTAATATAAATTATTTTCGGGGCTGAGGATATTTTTTACTGAAACATATTTATATGTCATGAATATTCCATACATAAACATGTTACATCAATATTTTTTTCCAAATCGTACTTTGAACCGCGAAGCAAGTATGCACCACGCGACCAATCCAACTTGAAAAAATGATGAACGAAATTTTGTCAGATGAAGAAACATTTGGATATTCATCGGAAAGTTATGTAAATAGTGATAGTGATATCTCTTCTTCTGAACATTGCTCGCCTGTAAGGAAGAAAAAAAGTACGCCGTACAAAAAAAGACATTTGTTTGGCTTCGAAAGTAGCTGACCAACAGCGGTTGGTAAATGAAAGCAGCAGGCAAGTTGACGAGTTAGGTCTAAGTACAAGTCATTCTTCGTCAGATGCGATACTTGTTTGAGATACAAGTTCTACCAATTTACAGTAGAGTGCAATCACAGGTAACAATTTGAAAACATTTCCGTTTCTTGCTAAACTGTATAAGATAAAACCGCTCATAGCTCACATCCGACAAAAAATTTCAAAACTCCTTAGTTTCCTGTGCTTCCTGTCTTAGAAAACCTAATAAGTGGTATCGGAAAATGGCCATTGCAATTCTCCTTTGATCAGCAGTTGTAAACGCATTCATATTATATAAAAAAGTAACGAGCTGTAATATTACCATAACTCAGTTCAGAGAAGAAATACCAAAAGATGCACATAAAACCAAAGGAAAGATCTTCGTCTGGGGAAAAGCATATTTTGGAAGAAGTAGAAACAAAGAATCGACGCAGATGCGTATTTTGCTATAAGAATGTTTGTTCGAAGAGTTCGACAGAAATTACGGGACTTCCAAAGCAACGCAAACTAGATGGAAATGTGTTCAATGTGACAAATTCTATTGTGTAAGTTGTTTCACAATTGTACTCTATAGGCGTTTTATATAGAATGCGATACTTCTTCCTATACAAACACTTTTTCGGTATTTTATTTATATTATTTTCCTTGTGAGCAGTTTCTTCTATTGTTGAAGAAATAAAGCATTTTGTAAAACCAATGTGTATATTACCTTTTATTTACCATATTATCTAGAGTACATAATGGTGTAAAAGGACAGAAATGAACAACCATAATGTTAGGCAATATCGAGTACGATTTATTACTTGCAGGGCCGTGCTAATCAAAAATATTTGTTGAGGGGGCTACTAACTTCAAACTTCCATATTATACTTATTATTGCAGCGCGAATCACTTACGAGCGGCGGTGCCCACAGTAACAATCCATGCGAAACAATTGTGATTCGCGCGGCCTGTAAGTAAAAATAAGCGTGAATCGTATATGATTTGCGCGGCGTTCAACGTGTTAAACAAGATGATGCAGAAGTAGCAATGGGTAAGTATGGCTATGGTGAAAAAAATGAGGGCAAAAATTGCTGAACTTCTTACACCGGGAAAGTTTATTCATGATGAACTCTTTTTTCGATAAAAAGCCTCAGCGTAAATGAACATGGATCAGCTCAAATGGCGGTGTCAAAAATGAAATAGATTATATATATATATATATATATATATATATATATATATATATATATATATATATATATATATATATATATATATATATATATAAAAGAAAAGAAATAATTCTCCCCGAAAACAACGACCTGTATGAAGATACACTAAGCAGACATATACAAGATTTGCACGACGAAATAGAAGATATAGATCAAGCAAATGATGGCATACTGAAGGCTCATTGGCATGGCTACATTTGGTGTGGTTGATTCGGGGTATTATTTTTTATATTACCCAACTTCTGGGTCTCCTTTCTAATAGTCGATGCTTCTCTTCTAGTTCGGAAGACCAGGGAGAAATACCAATAAACGGTTGGAGTTCATGAAAAGTTGTTGTGCTCTTTTGCCATAAGTTTTCCCAAGTATCCTCTACTGACTTTTTGAAAACGAGTTTGAAATCGTTAGCTAGTTGAATTGGAGTGACTCCAGTATTGTGGTTCGTAGCTTCTTTGGCAAAATGATCTGATGTTTCATTGCCAGTAATTCTAGTATGAAAAGGCAGCCATATGAGAGAGATTGTTACATCTTGAGCAGGGAGATTTTGGTATATATCATGAAAATGATACTTCAGGCGTTTGAATTATGGTTATACAGAATAATCCTGAAGACACCATGGACATATAAAGTACTGTGGAGGATGAACACAACCGCGGATTTAGTCAACATTGTGAAGAGACGTAAGCTGGAGTACTTGGGACATATAATGAGAAATCAAGGCAGATACGAGCTACTCCAATGCATTTTGCAGGGTAAAATTGAAGGAAAAAGAGCCCCAAGACGAAGAAGAATATCCTGGCTTGCTAACCTGAGAGCATGGTATAGAAAGACCTCAACACAGCTATTTCGTATTGCAACCAACAAAATCATCATAGCCAGAATGATCGCCAACGTTCGGAACGAACAGGCACCCTAAGAAGAAGAAGGAGAATCATGAATATTTTGAACTAATATCATGAATGTGGAGTGAAAATTGTATTGACTAAATGGATAGATGAAAGGGAATCTGAACAAATGGCAATATGTCTGTTTTATGGAAGATGCATTAAAAAGCCAACATATATAGTTCACCTGTGCAACACCAGTGGTAGTTTTAGAAGCATTGGTATAGATAACTAAACTGTATGATTTTTTTCTATAATTTCTAACAATGCTTTCTTTATAAGGTTAGAGGATTCATGTTAGTTAAAAATTGACACCTCAATGGAGGTATCTATTAGAGGGAGATCTTTAGCCCAGAGGGAAAGTAAAGGTAGAGGAAATGAACTAGTCAGAAGGAGGCCAATATTTTTAAGTAGTGGAGAAATTAATTGAGATATAGGTTTTATGATAAGGTGTTGGATATTGTTAGTGAAAGAAGATGACATTGTGGTAATTAAGCAATGAACTGGATTAAATTCATTTCATTTAAACCAAGAGCACGCTTCTTACCTTGCTTTAACATGGAATTTTAAAACAAAACTTCTCCCTTACCTAACTTCTGAGTCTCCTTTATACTCATTTAGGCTAATTTTACGATACAATAGGATAAGCCAGAAATACATTCAACAAATGAAAATGGTATTTCCTAAATGGGACACAACAATTATTTTAAAATAAGACTGGAAGATCGAGTTGATCGAAAAGGCCAAGAAAATGTTTAACAACATTAAGATCAGAAAGTTACAGTATCCGGGATATAGCACGGGGCAAACGTTATAAGACTTCAAGTAATAATGCAAGGAATATACAAGAAAGAAGACGTCAAGAAGAGAGACGTATTTTCTGGTTGAAAAACTTAAGAACATGGTTTGCCAATTGCCAATTATTCTAAGAGGAGGTGGTATACAAAAAAGTAGACGAGATTACTATGATCATATCTGCTTCTGGAAAATAATTCAGGACTTCTTTGTGTTTTATATGCTCGAAAGAATAGATAAACATGATATTCCTTATGCCTTATAAGAGTACAGGTTACAATTGATACAAAATATTGGGAAACTCTGCTGAAAGTAAAATACAAAAAGAAAATTATAATTTCACAAAGAATAATTTCACAGTTAAAGTATTATAGAATCTGATTTACATAAATACCACAAATATTTTTAGGCGGTGGTTTTACCAACAACTGTTTCGTGATTGGCACTTGCATATAAAATATACTAATTTCCTTAAATACACACATTAAGATTTACCAAAGGAAATGAATATTACAAATTGCGTCTCAACCAATTACAACGTTCATATAGCAATTTTCCAAATAATGCATATCCTTTTCAATTGTCAACTTGGATTTTTAATTTGTTATTACTTACGGTGAAGCAAGCAAGTCAGTATGAAAATTTTGTTATTTTTGGTAGGTTTTTTAATTGCAACAGTAGCAGCTGAAGAAAAATATACTAGTAAATACGATTCTATCGATTATCGTTCGATATTGGCTAGCGAGAGGTTGTTAAAACATTATTATGATTGTTTGATGGATGTAGGGCCGTGTACACCCGATGGAAAAGAATTGAAAAGTAAGTGTTTTCCGTATATCTGACAATTTTTTTAGTTGTTATAGGCTTATAAGTATAAAGAAAACCTATATGTTATCTGCATACATTTTGGCGTATTTTTAAAATTTTTACAATTTCGTGTAAAAAATGCATTTTTTCGATTTTGTGCTTACCATTGCATAGCTTAATATTTAAGGTAAAAATACAAAACTTTTAAGACATCAAAGAGCTGTAAAATGTCAATTTCTAAAAGTTGTAAAATTGATTTGTTGCTTCAAAAACTGCAAAATAAGGCAAAAACGTTATTTGTTTATAATTATTGTAAAAAATCAACCTAGTCATTTGATATTTTGCCCAGTTTGGTATTGTGGTCCTTAACAAACCCTCAAAAATTCAGATCCATCTATTAACCAATTTGATCCCACATTTTTTTTTTGATAATTCAAGATTTTTTTGAATGTCTTTGTTGGCTCTGGGTTAAATAGTAACAATTCATTGTAATTTGAAAAATTAAATTTGTAGCAAGAAGTAGGTGTACTCATACGAGTACAATGAGCTTATCGGGAGTCAAAAATATAAATCATTGTATAAAAATGAAAATATATTTTTTTCTTACAATATAGGTACATACTTGGGTATCTTCTTCTTCGGGTTCCTTCTCCTAGCGGAGGTTGGAAATCATCATCGCTATTTTAACTTTGTTGGCCGTATTTCTGAATAATTCTAATGAGCTGCAGCCGAACCACTCTCTCAAATTTCTTAGCCAGGACATTTTGCGTCGTCCTGGGTTTCTCTTGGGTATATCCTGTATTATAATCTAACTAGTACGAAATTGTACAAAACAATCACGTTCAATACACAGAGTAACTTCACACTTTATACAAATCCAACGTACTCTTTGATGGCATAACCGACATTGAAGTTGTTTGTCTATTTTCTTTTAAAAATAGCGCTTCCATCCATTTTTAGACTAATCGGTACAGATCCTGCTAGTCGTTTTCTAGAATAAGTAGATTTCCTAAAACTTCTTAAATAATAACGTACTACATATCGTTGAAAAACCAAAAGATCCATTTCTTTATTTTCAGCAAATATTTGTAACTTCCACGAGTTAACAAGAACTGAGTTGAGCATGTAGGTAAAAATGGGCCACTACCATTTTTTACCTTGTATAGTGACTCGGTTATTATTAACCGATTGGTCAAACAGACTAACATCGTCAATTGAAGCATTGTATGATGAGAAAAGTTTTGGTAGAGGTACATCAATTTTTCGTTTGGCAGCAGCACACCAACGATTTACTTTTGAAAGTGGTTCAATATTATCGTAATTTTATGTCATTATGACCACATTGTTATCCTTCCATTTTATAAAAATTAGTAAACTGTTTTTGTCAAAGCGATATTCGAAATATTTACGATTCTTTTTTTCATTAAAGCGAAAGGTAACAAAGGACATTTTTTTATAGGATTTTCTCTTAATGTTGCCCTCAAGCCCCTATCTTTTAAAGTTTCCATCAAATTATAACTAGTAAAATAATTGTCAAAAAATACTTCGTGGTCAGTAGGCACATCAACGATATCAAGCATTTGATAGCAACGATATCCACAATACTTGTGTCAAAATTGTAGCAATAACCAGTTGAACTACAAAGCATCCAGTCCTTGTACCCAAATCTTACTGGCTTTACCCTTATGAACTGTTTAGATGAGTGATGCCTTTGTGAAATATGCCAAATTGTTGGAATTTTTTATTTAGTTTGTTCATGAGAGGCCTCACTTTACACATTCTGTCCATTACGAATTATCTGTCAAATGTAGGTATTTTTAAATTTCTTTGAAACGGTCCCTTGAAATTGCATTAGTCACGGGGGGACCTGAAGATCCTCATCTAAACACCAATAGTTGCGCTCTCGTGGCAATTTATGGTGTCCAGTAAAAAGTAAAATAGCCAGAAATATCTTTATCTCTTCCTTCGTTACATGAAATTGATGATTATTATTTTGAGCGGCATATATATTTGTCTGCTGTGTAATGTATTCAATAATTTCATTGTCGTAAAATTTCTCAAATATTTCTATATGAGATTTATCTCGGATTTGTTCTTTCATCATCACTTATGTAACGAACCTCTGTTTTTCCGGGAACGTCATTCGGAAAGCCTTGAGTCCGAAGATCATCCTCATCTATGTCCTCATTGTCAGTTTGATAGTGAGTCTCAGGAGGAATAACTACCACCGATACATCTTTATGTGTGGAACTCGCTATGTCATCTGAAGCTAAAGCAAGAGTTCTATAACGTTTTCCATAAAACTCAATGGGACTAATAGGGGGCAATTCTTAAAAATCCATTCCAATACCAATATTGAACCTGAAACAATAAAAAACCAAATAATCATTTTGATCTCATACAAACCCACGTTCGGCTCGCGGAGATAAGAATACGGCCGAGGCCAGAAAACCCAGCCTGTCGTAAGAGTCGACTAATGGGAAGGAATTAAGAGGTAGAGAGCCGTCGCTTGAGGTGTCGGGTCTGTAGAAACGCACTCGGGGCGCTTCTGCGTCACGGTAACCGGTCTATACTACTAGTGTCCGAGACGAGACTCTCGTGGGACCACTCTACTCTCATTCCACAGAACCAGGTGAGGTTAAACGAGCTGAGCCCGTAAGTACCTCTTTTGAGCGCACCACCATGAGGGGCGCCGGTGTCTCGGCACGTACCCAGTTTGGACATTTAAGAGTGGTAGAGGAGAGATCCTCGGCGACTACCTGTTAACCGTAGAAGCCATTTTACACGCTTTTTTAGGCTGTACTGTGTAAAAAACACTTTTATTATCAGCAGATAGTACTGTCATGTGTTAATAAGTCACTGACAATTTAAAAGTTAAACTGGTATTCCCACAAACCAAAGCGGACTATGTCATATAGTCCAGTCTGGCTCGCAAGTATTGTTGTCTTAAACAAAATGGACCATCCTAATACATGCTGCCATCTGTTGTAGAGTAGAGGAAATTCATATGGTCCACTCTGGAATTGAAGGAAAGTAGATGTTGGGTTTAAAACCAAACTTATCTAAAATTTCACAACTTTGTGGGATGGTCCGTTCTGGTTATCAACGCCTCATATATACTATATGATTTTTCAATAAGTGTAACTAGGCAATATACACGCAAAGGATATAGACGCCTATATTCTTTGATACAAGTAACCCATACTTGTCATGGAACAGCAAACAAAGCAATTGGTATATAATAAAATATGTACTTTATCACCGAACTGCTACCATGTAGTGAAGACCCTGTCTTCTTGTCAGGTCAGGAACAAAAGTATCTCGAGATAGGAAACACTACCCCAGAACTCCAACACACATCTCTGTTGGCTGAGCAGCTTCTACCCTTACTGGATGGAACGACTGATGGTAACTGACTGCCACGAACGTTGGACCCAGATTTGTTTTTTACAAGCAAACACTAGGTGTGTGCGATCAATACCCAGCAATCTGCACTTTTAACAAAAGCCATTAATTTTTTTATCGTCCTTTGTTAATATAGAATGTATGGAAGAACACTCTTTTGTCTGCTACAAAGTATTTAATAACCGTCCATTTTTCTCTAAAGTCTGTGTTTTTGTACCCGGAAACTTGGCTAAATATACGGAGAGAATCAAAACTAACACTTCTTCTTCTTCTCATGGCGCCGTCTTTTTTCGAAGGTCGGCGATTCAAATGGCAATTGTGGTTTTGGAAACTGCTGCGCGAAAGATTTCTGTGGATGATCGGTCGAACCATCTCCTCAGGTCTTTCAGCCATGAGTTCTGGCGTCTTCCTCTTAATCTTTTGCCCTGTACTTTTCCTTCCAGTATAACTTGAACTAATTTATATTTTTCGCCTTTCAACACGACTCCAGTATTGCATTTTCCTCTCTTTGATTATTCTTAGTAATTCTTTTTGTTTACACATTCGACGAAGTACCTCAACATTAGTAACTCTTTGTGCCCACAGAATTCTCAACATTCGTCTGTATATATACATCTCAAAGGCATATATTATTTTTTATATTTCAGAGTCTATTGTCCAACTCTCACAGCCATACAGTAAGACAGAAATACGTAACATCTAATCATTCTGATTCTAAGCTGCAGACTTAGGTCTGATCTTGTAAAAAATGTTTTCATGCTCATGAATGTTTTCCTTGCTTGTTCGATTCTTGATAGTTTTTCTTTTTTTGGATTACATTGACTACTGATATTTGCTTCCAAATATTATATGGAATTTACCTGTTCTATCATTTGACCCTTGGCATACACATGTACGTTTATTGGTGTCTTTGAAAATACTAAAGTTTTGGAAACGTTTAGATGTAAACCGAACATTTCGCTGTGGTGAACTACCGCATTTATTATATTTTGTAGTTCTTGTGCGTTACTTGCTATTAAGACAGTATCATCAGCATCTCTGATGTTGTTTATGCTGATTCCGTTAATCTTAATTCCGCTTTGGACCTGGTCTATTCTCTGAATATAGACTCCGAACACAAATTAAACAGTAGCGGTGATAAGACGCAACTCTGTCTCACTCCTCGTCGAATTTGTATATCTTCGGATGTTGTGTGCTCTATTTCAATTGTTGCCGTTTGGTGTCACTATAGTTCTGAGAAAATTCGCAAGTCTTGTTCGTCAACTCCAGTTGTTCTCAGAATTTAGATCATCTTTTGATGGTTAACACAGTCAAATGCTTTTCGATAGTCGATAAAACATGCATATACATCTACATTCATGTCTCTGCATCGTTGCGTTAACACATTTAAAGCAAAAAGAGCCTCTCGTGTTCCCAATCCGTTTCAAAATCCGAATTGAGTGTGGATAATTTCTTGTAAATTCATGTATGGATAATTCTGAGAAAAGTTTTAAGGACATGAGACATCAAGCTTAATATTCGATAATCATAGCATTGTGAGAAATTCGATCATTTTGGTAATGCTACGAATGTTGATTTTAGCTAGTCTGTTGGTACTTCTTCTTCTTCTTCTACTTCTTTAAGTATAGCACTAAGTTTTCCAGAAAGGGCTGCCTGGTGTATTATGCACTGATATGCTATTGAATTTGAATTTTGTCCCTGATCCTCTTTACTACACCTTTTTCTTTGCCTATCATTGCTGGGACCCCATGAGTAAAAAGAGAAATCATTTTATTATAACTAATGTTATAGATTTAGAAATTAATTAATCAATAACCTTGAATCAATCTTCTCCTCGAATGTTACCTTTCAGCGGCAATATTGCTAGCAACTCTTCCCTAAAAATCTGACACTCAATATCAAGAAATCTTACAAAAATAGACATTCACCACCATCAAAAATGTCACTTGATACGTCAAGTGCTATGGCGTAAAGAGCTTTTTGCAAAAGCGTGCCTTTTGCAAAAGATTCTTCTTCTTCTTCAGATGCAAATCCACTAATGGATGTTAGTGATCACATTTTCCATTAATTCTCTATTTCTTGCAATATGTATCAGAGATTGTATGTCGTTAATCCCTGTCCATTGCCTTATGTTTCGGAGCCAGGACATTTTCTTGCGTCCCATTCCTCTCTTGCCTTCAATTTTACCCTCGATTATAAGTTGGAGGAACTGGTATTTTTCATTTCGCATGATGTGACCTAGATACGCCGTTTTCCTTTTCTTGATGGTTTCGAAAAGTTGGCGTTCTTGGTTTATTCTTTTAAGGACATCTATATTTGTGATTTTCGCTGTCCATGGTATTTTTAGGATACGGCGATAAAGCCACATTTCGAAAGCTTCTAATCTGTTTATATCCCTCGTTTTGAGTGTCCAGCCCTCTACGCCATATAGCAGTACTGACCATACGTAGCACTTAGTAAACCTTAGTCTCAGTTGAAGATCGCACTCTGAACAAGTCAGTACCTTCTTGAATTTTACGAAAGCTTGTCGAGCTTGCTCAATGCGACATTTTACTTCCCTGTCCGATGCCCAGTCTTCAAAAAGCCACGATCCCAGGTATTTCAATTTACTCACTCTTTCTATGGATTTACTATTCAGTGTTATGGTGGAGTTTTCAAGTGCATCCAAGTTTCTGGAGATGATCATGAATTTGGTCTTTTTGGTATTAATCTCTAATCCCATTCGCTCACTGTATTCTCCGATTATAGTGACAAGTTGTTGAAGATCAACTATGTTGTCACAAATTAAGACACCATCATCAGCATATCGTATGTTGATCATTACTCCATTCACCTTGATTCCCATCTCTGCATCCTCCAAAGACTCTTGAAATATGGCTTCCGAATAAATGTTAAATAAAAGAGGGGAAAGCACACATCCCTGTCGAACGCCTCTTCTTATATGTATGGGCTTTTAATATTGTTGATTGTCTCTTTTTGTGTCCACCTGTCATTTTTTTTTACTTTTTTATGAATATTAAAGATGTCGTATGTTTCCTGAAGTTGTTCGATTTCTAGGTATTTTGTTGACATCCAGTTTTCTTTTTCTTCTCCCTGTACTTTTTTCTAATGATCTTATTGATTCGCTTGTATTCTATTGGGCTTGTTTTCAACGTTTTTTTTACACGAACACAAAGTCTGTTAATATATTGCAAATATTTATACACAGTTGCGAAACTGCAACAAAGTAACCATAAATAATTTTCATATCATTCCTTAAAAATCTTAAAAAATGATTCGTTAACATGAATAAATTTGTTTTAGGTGTTATATCAGACGCATTGAAAACGGAATGTATAAAATGCACAGAAAAACAAAAAGAAGGTGCGAAAGAAGTAATCGAATTTTTGGTCAAGAATAAAGTCGACTGGTGGAATAATATGTTGAATAAATACGATCCTGATGGAATTTACAAGGCAAAATATCAAGATGAATGGAGGAAGATGGGTTATCCATTCTAAAGATATGTGATTGTAATAAAATTTAAACATGAAGTTTACACATTATTTTTTTTTAATTGTGGGTGATGTAAATTAATGTAATTTTTATGTAATATACTTAACCTAATAAAAGTCTTGGGATAATAATTATTGTAGTAGAAATTTATTAAAGACCTTAGTTTTATAATATAGAATATATAATATATTTTTATATAGAAGCACTAAATTTAAGAATAATATACCTATTAGCCCTATAAATACCTTCAAAATGACAAAAAAGCACTTTTCACATCAAGTTGATTTATATCCATAACACGATCCACAGCAATGGCTAACAGTACCTCCAGGGTGGTTAATCTAGCTACTGGTGCATACACGTCTTAGTTGTCCAATGCTGGCTGCTGATAGCCTCTGGCCACTAATCGAGATCTCTTCACCAAACTGACCATCAACATTTTTCTCAACAAAAACTCATCGTGAATCAATGATTACATCGTTAGCCTTAGATTCTACCAAAGTCCAGGTATCGTTGCCTTCTAACGCCAAAAGTTCTTTATTTATAACCTCTTTTCATACATTTCCCATCGAAACAGCTTCGTCTATCTCTTGAACTTCTACGTATCTCGTGTTCTTATCTACTATTAGGTTGTATTATTTCTGGTTCAATTTTAACAGGTTCAAGAATGGTTTGCCTATCCACACCTCTATGTCTCATCACATGAACTGGAGATTCACTTTCATAAGTTTCATCAAATCTAACTGAACGAGATGTAAACACTGCTCGTTTTAGAGAGTCCCAGAGGCGGTATTCATTGTCAGAATAGCCAATAAGAATACATTTTTTTGATCTCTCAGCAAACTTCCCAGATCGATCTTCTTCAGGAATATATGTATAGGCATTGCATCCAAATAATAATTTAATTTTGCTCATATCAGGTTTGTAACCGTACCAAACTTCAGCTGGTGTACATTCATTAGGCAATGAAAATGACTTGTCAAGACCACTGTCCAAAATGAAACATCTAGATTTATCTGAAATAGAATGATTGTATTTTTCTGCTAATCCATTCTGCTCTGGATTACTGGGTAGTTATTCCTTTACTAGTACAAAAATATTTAAAGCTTTTAGAACTATTCTCCCCAGCATTATCACATCCCAAATACTCTATTTTCAGGTTGAATTATAATTCAGTTAAGGCTACAAAATTCCTAAAGCATGTTTCCACTTCATTCTTTTCTTTAATAAGGTCTATCACTCCCAAACGACTGTAATGATCAATGAATGAAAGATAATAATTTTTAACATCATGAGTAGAAGGGCTAATTTTTCCACACACATCTGTGGACACATAGTGGAAATGATTGTTACGAGTCCCGAATTGGACAATCTAAATGCTACAAATAAGCTTGGAGGCAGCACCAAACTAGAGATCGTATGTATTAATTCACAATCTATTATAAACAAAATAAGTCTATCGAATAAGTCTTATCGAATTATTGCTTAAAACCGAAAGTCCGGATTTGCTGTGTATAACCGAGTCATGGTGTAGTGACAACAATATAAATTCCTTATATCTTCCAAATTATCTCTTAGGTTCGTACTATAATCGAAGTGATCATATATGTACATGGTGGTCTACTTATATTTGTAAAGGTTAATTTTAAATTTAATATTCCAACTTAAAAAGTTTTGGTATTGATCGGTATTGGTATTGAAAGGTATTGATCAAATCCCCACTAAAATAATAAAATACATTTCTTCATATATATCTCCTGTTTTGTCTCACATCATCAACCTATCTGTCAAGGATGGCAAGTTTCCAAGTGACCTTAAAACGGGAGTAGTCAGTCCAATTTTCAAAAAGGGAGATCCATGTTTGGTTGATAATTACAGGCCAATCATCGTAACAAGTGTACTCTCTAAGATTATCGAAAAGTGTATTTATAGTAAGATGTTAAATTTTCTGAATAAATATGATATCTTAAATAAATGCCAGCATGGGTTTCTTCCTAATAAATCTACAGAAAGTGCTTCTATTTCATTATTTAATTATATCCACGCTGCTTTGGATCGAAAAAGGTATGTGGGTGCACTCTTTTTTGACTTAACTAAGGCTTTTGACTCTATTGACATTGAAATTATACTGCATAAATTAGAAGCCCTTGGTTTTCGGGGTTATTTCTTGAACTGGTTAAGGTCATATTTACAACATCGTAAATTCCTAGTAAAAGTCGATAATAAGAAGTCATCTGTTTTTAATCTTGATCGAGGTGTACCGCAAGGCTCCGTATTGGGATCCCTAATATTTCTTTTATATGTCAATGATTTGACACATTTTTTAACTGCAGACCATATAGTTCTTTATGCAGATGATTCAACAATTGTAGTTGACGAGTCAAATGAAGCCGAACTCATATCAAAAATGAACTTAGTAGCACAGGAATTTACAACCTGGTGTAAAAGGAACTCTTTAATGGTAAATGCAAAGAAAACTATTTGTATGCAGTTATACTCTCGCTTTAAGCCATCCCATGGTTATAAAATCACAGTTAGTTCTGAGGAAATACCTTTTAGTGATACAACATTATTTCTTGGTAGCATTCTAGAAAGTAATATGACATGGGATGAAAATGTCACTAAAGTCTGCAAAACAATGAATAAGGGTTACTATGCGATCCTTCAGTTGAAAACTCTATTTAATACCAATCAATTGATAAGTGTGTATTATGCATTGGTTTATTCATAAATAGCCTATAATGTTATCTTGTGGGGAAACTCTAGAAACTCTTCTCGAGTTTTTATAACTCAAAAGAGAATTCTTACCTAGATTGATATTCAATATTAATAATAGATAATCATGTCATGAATATTTTATTGAACACAGGCTGTTGACTTTTCATGCTTTATATATTTATAAGTGTATTATTCACGTCAAAACTAAATTTCAAAATTTTACCCTCAACTCTGACTTTCATAATTATGCGTTTACAACCTAAATGAATATTTTGACTTAATAAAAGACTACAGAGAATAAGGACCGACTGGTTCAGAGACGCTCGATATTGCATATCTTTGTTTTTTATTTTTATATTAGTCTATATTTTATTGATTTTGTTTTATGTAATTGTCTTATATAACTTGTTGATCATGCTTTATGTACCATATGACTTGTCCTATATCACAATGTGATCTGATGGGATTAATAAAGAATATTCTATTCTATTCATATTGAAGTAAGCGTCGAGCTTTTCTGTCACTTGGGATACTCTTTAAAAATGGAGAATGTGTCTGCTTACCTTTCAAGCATATCTTACATACTGAACTCACAGGAAACCTACAAGAGTGTTCCATCCGCTTGTGCCACAACTCAGCTCAGATGTATCTCGAACAATGTTAACCACATCTGAATATGAAAATGTAATTCTATATAAAGTACAAATTACCAATCAATTTTCCAGTAATAATTGCAGTATCACTCCTCATGATATTTATTTTCTTATTTTCAAAAATCACACTAAAACCTTTTTCAAATTTTTTTTCAATTTGTCTTACTAACAATAAATTGTAAGAAAGATTGTCACAAACAAAAACAGCATTCAAAGTAACTGAAAGTCCTTCTTTAGATATAGCTGAAAAACTACCTTGAAATTTTGATGCTACAGCTTCACCAACCTTTGTTACATTTATTTGTCTATCCATTGCTTTGGAATTAGTCAAAAATTGAATGTATTTTGACATAAACAGGTGATTTGTACAACCACTAGCCACCACCAGATATACACTATTCGTTACATTTGAATCACAGCTGACTGTAACTTCCTATTTTCTGTGACTACCAAGAAATGCAATTTCTTTGTTTTTAGCATTAATCATATTACCAGTTACACGATTTTTAGACAATCATTTTGGACATTTCAAGCAAATATGACCAATTTCATGACAATGATAACAAAGAGCTTTAAAAGTATGTTTGTTCTTACCTTTGTATTTATCTTGACCAACAAAGGCATGCAAAGGAACAGGTATATTAATAACTTCCTTTGTTTTTACACGATCATCTTCCGTCATTAAACTATTTTTCACGAAATCTACAGTTACTTTGGATGGATCAGAACGAAATAAAATATCAATGGATGTTACAACTGGGTGATCTTGTCACTATCATCTATTTTACGTTCATGCATCATTTAATTCTCTTAATGTTTTATCAAAATCCACCAAAAACTCACCCAAGTTGCCGTCTTCTTCAAGTACTAAGTATAATGGGAAGCCAATAGTTCGGTGTGGGTCTAATTGTACCTGAGATTATTCGCATTGTCTGGTTTAATTGAGTGTCAATAATCTTCGTATGTTTGCTATTGAGCCATACCGGGGAAGCATATTCAGCCACCGAGTATACAAGTCCGAGAGCGGATGATCTGAGTAAGGAGGCTGAAGACCCCCATGTAGTGCCACATAGCTTTTGGACTATATTATTTCTCGATTTCAGTTTTGCTGTCGTTCATTGTAGATGTTCTTTAAAACTTAATGTTCTGTCCAGAGTCACTCCAAGATATTTTGATGTTGAATTATGAGTGAGCAGTCTGTTTTCAAAGTATACGAATAGTTTTTTGTTGGCTTGGGCATTATTCAGATGGAAACAGCACACTTCGGTTTTCGTTGAATTGGGCCGTAGCCTCCATTTGCGAAAGTATTCTCCCATAATGACAAGATTATCCGTTAGAATTGTTTCTGTGATATCCATGTTATTATGTCTTGCTGCAATGGCCCAAACGTCAGCATAGCCAAATTTCTGCGAAGTTGTCTCAGGTAGGTCCGCGATGTATACATTGAACAGTAGGGGTGCCAAAACAGATCCCTGTGGCAGTCAATTGCTGAGCTTCATTTGGACACTTTTAAAATTGCCCATTATGACTTGAAAAGGTCTGTCGGTGAGCATGTTATCAATGAATCTAGTTACCTTTTGACACGGGATGGCACGGATTAGTTTGCAGATTAGTCCTTGTCTCCAGACAGTATCGTATGCAGCTGAGAGATCAATGAAAACAACTGATGTTTTTTGCTTTCTTTGAAAACCTGCTTCAATATGTGTTTTTTAAGGATATGATCTGATCTATGCAGCTGCGGTTAGGTCTGAACACTGTTTGCTCAATAGGTATCAATTCAAATATGTTTCTACTAATTCTGTTGTAGATTAAGCGTTCCAACAGTTTATAGACACAGCTCAGCAAAGCAATCGGTCAGTCGTTTTGGGGCTGATTATTTGCACTTCCTGATTTTAATATGGCTATAATGGAGGTCTTTTTTAGTGAATGAGGATATTGCAGTTTCACAACTGTATATAAACATTTGTAAATGTATTAACAGACTTTTTGATAATTTCTATTCTCCTCGTATTTTAAACCAGATTTGCGTGTAAGTGACACAGCGGTTTTAAGGGCTAAAGATTGCAAGGCGGGCCATCTGCCAAATATCACCCCATGTGTGTGTGTACCTAATATAAGGGTTTGCATTTCATACACAAAAGGGTCGAGTAGTATCTCTCAAACGATGCACATGTGTATGTGAATAGTACCTAATTCAGCATCGGTCTGTCGAGCGAGACAGACGTAAGAATTTGCATTATGAATTTTGTGCTTCCAGTGTCGCTGAAGACATAATTTGCGATAGCGTTGGGGATATCTTTTCATTAGGTAAGGAACAATACACCATTAATTTCTTGCTGCATATATCAAGTACGTGCACTTGGTATCTTTATTTGACAGTTGTTTGGAACTTCATCGCATTTGTGCCGCGATCGCGATTGAACATTGTCAATTGGACATTTTGTATTTGTTTCAGGTTATTCACTATATTCTTATATTTGTATTTTGTTAACACCGATTTATTTCGTGTGTGATTTGTATTAATAATTGTATTAATTATTTGTATGCACCGCATTATTACTTGTTTTTATACCATTGACATATATATCCATATTTTTATGTTTTTTTTTGTAATATTATTAATTTATCTTATCTTTTATGTATAGTATGTTTGCGGCTATAGTAGGTTTTGTCTTTTGTTTTGTCAGTGGTTTTTTATAGAATCGACATTATTGTTTTGGTTGGTTTATGGTTGTCTTTTGGTGTGTTTCATAGTAGCTAATAGTTAAGTTTGTAATATATTCTTCTTCTTGTATGTAATATATTCTTCTTTAATTATAATTGTATGTGGTTATGTATATTTATGTATATAGGGAGAGACAAATGTTGGGTATATCACTTAAAGATAGAAAACGTAACCAGTGGATCAGGACCAGAACAAAGACAGTAGACGCGATAGAACAAGCAGCAAAACTGGAATGGAAATGGGCTGGACACAATGAACGTCTCCAAGACGGACGATGGAACAATGCCATCGGAAAGTGGCGTCCATGCAATGCAAAGAGATCAAGAGGCAGACCACAGATTAGGTGGAAAGATGACATCAAGAAACAAGGAGGTCCCACATGGCAGAGAACAGCTTAAGATAGGGAAAGATGGAGAGAACTGGGGGAGACTTATATCCAACAATGGAAGGATAGAGAATAGATACAAAAAAAAATGTAACTTTATGTGTTAATTTCATTACTTTTTTAAATATAGTTTTATACAGTCCACTGGCTTTGATTTTTTTCTTTATTTGAATATACATACCCAATTCGAAAGGGAGAAACCAGCGAGTTCTAGATTGAACAGAATATCATTCTCTCCCCCTTCAGGATGACCCCAATTGATATATTGAGGTCATCGTATGTGCAGAACGCAACAGAGGGATTTCTCCTGATTTTAACATATCTGTATAAAAATCAGCCAGTCATTTTCTAGCATATTTGCCACAGTGGAGTAAAAACTCTGGATGAATTTTATCGGAGTCGGGTGCTTTTCCAGACTTAATTTACTGCTTATACCACTGTAGATAAATTACGAATGCACTTACTGAAGGCGTTTCTTTACAAAAGTGTGTATTTACAGTTTAAAAGTCCATTTTAGTAAAAAACGATTTTGGTAAAATTATGACTTATGGGGCTTCTCAAATAAGTGATTCATATGGGAAATTGAGAAACACTTTTAACAGTGAGCTGCCCACAAGCCTGAATCAAACAGTATTTTTTTGTGTGTAAAACATTTATGGGCCGTTTTACATACCAAAATCTATAAAAATCGTGCAAGCCGTTTTCGAGATAATTTTCAGTTTCTTCTTTTTTATTTATTTTATCCAGATGTAAGCGGGATCTCATCCATTACCATATTAAAAAACAATAGACCAAGCGAGTCTTTTGTCTGATTTATAGTATACTGTGGATCTGAACCCCCTGAATATAATATATGAATTTAAAAGGTATGTTTAATAAATAAAAACGTTCAACCTTCATGTCGATTCTAATAATTTAGAAACCTAAATCGGCGCAATGCAACAATTTGTATGCAGATCATACCTACCTTGAGTAATAATTGTAAGAAATGATGTAGTTGTTGTCATTTGATTATTTACGTCATGGTAATCGCAGAAGGTGAGACTATATAAGTACCAATTTAAGAAATAATAATTCTAAATTAACATCAGTAGTACTTCTAAGTGATTAAACATAAGAAAGGATTGAAAATGGGATATTTATCGCTAATTTTCTTACTGGCTGTCGTATCTAGCGGCGTTTTAGCTCAAACGTATAATACGAGATATGATAATATAGATATTGATCAAATTTTGTCCAACAAAAGAGTATTAGACAATTATATAAAATGCATATTGGACGATGAAACTAGAAGGTGTTCTCCAGAAGGGCGAGAGTTCAAAAGTAAGTTTACGAATGAATACATTCACTTACATTATTTCTAATATTTAAACTATTTTATATTATTTAATATGTATTCTCTAAAAAAAAAACATCAATTATAAAGTGAGAATATTTTATAAAATTTTGACTATTAAATTTAAAGTTTTCAAATCAACTTATTTTAATTGTATTTTGTCAAAAGTTTCATATTTAGATATACCTAAATTTTACATTTAATGTGGTTTTGCTCTGAATATTATAAAACGGTGATGTCAGAAATAAACGGGTTAAGAGTAGTAAATATTATTTACTCGTAGCTACACTTTTTGGAAAATATTGTTTACTTCTATTTTTTCTTAATCATGATTATAATATTGTGCATACTTTTTCTTCTTCTTCTCGTAGTACTACAACCCGGGATTGGTCTTGGCTGACTGCACAACTTGCTTCCCTCTTGAACGGTCGTCCATAATAGTGTGGTCAGTGGGTAGCCCATTGTTCTTAGATCTGACCATATATTGTCTCTCCATCGCATTCGTGGACGTCCTAAGGGCCTCCTTCCTGGGGAGGCTTCCTCCCATATTAACTTGGCAAGGAGGTTATTAGGGAGTCTATGGACATGGCCAGCCCATCTTGGACGTTGAGATTTAATATCTTGGACTATGTCGCTCGCTCTATACATTTGATTGACCTCAGCATTTGTTCTCATTAGATATTGGTTGTTATTAATGTCGTGATAAGGCCCAAAGATTCTTCTGAAGATTTTCCTCTCAAAACATCTAAGTTTTCTTTCAGTTTCTTTGGTCAGGGTCCACGTCTCATACCCATACATGAGCACCGGTCTAATAACCGTTTTATATATTCTAATCTTTGATGTTCGTGTTACGATTTTAGATTTACTAGTATTGTTGAGGCTGTACATACATATGTTTGCTACCTGAATTCTACCTGCTACCTGATTGTCCTTTAATATCTTCCGAGATATCGTTATCTGCAGTGATTGTTGCTCCGAGATATTTAAAACTCAACACTCTTTCAAAGTTATATGGGTCTATTGTAACATTTTGCCCTATTCTATCTCGTCCCATTTGTCTGTTGATGCACATGTATTTGGTTTTCTCTACCAGTTTTCTTTGCCTCTACCTCTAAGTTATTAAAAGTCTCCTTCACATTGGTGACTGTGTTTCCCACAATGTCAATGTCATCTGCGTATGCTAGTAGTAATTTTGGTCCATTTACTGTCAGTAATTCTGTTTTAGGTTATGCTGCTCTTGTTACTTTCTCCAGGATGATATTAAAAAGGAGAGGTGACAGCGCATCTCCTTGTTTCAGGCCACTGCTTATTTCGAAAGATTCTGAGAGTTTGTTACAAGCTAAATAAGTTTTTTGGAACTGAAAGGTCTGCCATTGCATTCCACATCTGATCCCTTTTAATGCTGTCGTACGATTGCCTGAAATCTATAAAGGGATTATGGATAGTTCTATTGACTTCCCATCCTTTTTCAAGCAGCTGTTTTAGAGTAAAGATCTGATCTATGGTCGATATATATTTTCTGAAGCCGTCTTAGTATTGCCCCATGAAATTTTCTACAAACGGTGTCAGCCTACTTAATAAGATGTTCGATAAGATTTTATATGCCGTACTTAGTAGGGAGATGCCTCTATAATTAGAGCATTTGGTTTTGTCTCCCTTTTTACGGATGAGGATTATTACACTTTTGTGCTATTTTGTTGGTACTTTCTCTTCGTTCCATATAAGTGTTATTAGTTTGTGTATTTGTCTATGTATAGTTTCTCCGTACTTAAGGATTTCAACCAGTATATTGTCAGAGCCTGGAGCTTTTCCGTTCTTTAATTTGTTAATTGCTTGCAATGTTTCATCTATTTTGGGGTCCTCTACCGGTAGGTCCACCCCAAAATGTATATTATCTCCATGTTCTTTCTCTTGATGTATATTTAGTAAAGTCTTGAAATATTCTTGCCATGTTTGGAGCAGTTCTTTTTTATTTATTATTAATTCATCATTTTTTCTGAGTACAGACACGAATTTAGGTCTGAAGCCTTTCTTTTCTTTTAAAACTGTACGAGCATTTGCAAAATGCTCGTCTATTTGAGTGTTGCTTATTCCTTTCCATTTCTTCATATTTCTGTTGTTCGTACTTCCTTTTTTCTCTCTAATTAATTTTCTTGTTTCTCGGCGTGAAGTTGCATAGTTTTCTTTACTTTTGCTATTCCTTGTTGAAGCATAATATTTCGCTTTATCTATCTGTCGTGTAGTTTTTCTTGACATTCTCTATCAAACCATTTCCTTGTTCTCTTCCTGCTTTTTTCTATTATTAGTTCTGCTGACTCCGTAATTGATTTTTCCATTTATTGCCATAGCTTTTCGACATCATTGTTCTGGTCTACTGTATTTAGATGCTGTTTAATTTCTTGTTTGTAATTTTCTCGGATTTCCTAATTTTGCATTTTCTCGATATTCCACTGTCTCAATGCTTCGTTGGCCTTAGGTTTCTCTGAAGATATTCTCAACCTGATTTTTGCTCTTACTAGGTGATGGTCTATATCTCCATCTACTCCCCTGAGGCTTCTTACATCCAGCACATTACTTCCATGTCTAGCATCGATAATTACGCGGTCAATTTGGTTCTGCGTGGAATGGTCATTAGAGACCTAAGTCTGTTTATAAATGTTTTTATGTTGAAACATAGTAGACTTTACAAGCATATTGTTAGCCGATGCTAGCTCTACGAGCCTTTGTCCATTATCGTTTGAGATATCGTGGAGTCTGTGTTGTCCTATTGTCGGTCTTAGGTTAGGTTCCTTGCCAATTTTTACGTTGAAGTCTCCACAGATTATCTGCGTGTCTTGTTTGGAGATTTTCTCAAGCGTTCTTGTTCATAGAAGTAATCTTTAATATGTTCATCTTTATCTTGGATCGGAGCATGTGCGGATATAATTGAGATATTGTACCATTTTTCTTTCATTTTAATATAACCAAGTCTTTCACTAATGGGCGTGAAACTTATAATACTGTTCAGGTATTTTTCTCGTACTACGAAACCTGTGCCGAATTCGTGTTTTCCTATCAGGTTTCCACTGTAGAAAATGATCGCCTTGTCTATTTTTATGACTCGTGTGTCTAGCCACCTTAGTTCTTGTATTGCCGTAATGTCCATTCCTACTTTTTCTAACTGTTTTATTGCATGTATAGATGATTCCGTCCGGTACCAACTTAGAACATTCCATATTCTAAGTTAGACGTAACATCTAAGCGTTTTTATGAGTATATTGATACTTAAAGATAAGTTGCCGAGAATCTTCCTAAGGCTGTTGAAAGAGCTTCTGGCTTTTTCAACGCGAGTTTTTATTTCCTAGCTGTGATCCCAAGTACGTATCCTTAATATTGCAGCCCAAATAGCATATTTTTTCCACTCTTTCTAACGGTGTATCGCCTATTGTAATTTAGGCGTTTATGTTGGTGTTCTTACTAATGATCATTATGTTTGTCTTCTTCCAACACTGTACCGTCTGCATATCTAATATTGTTATAAGTTGGTCATTTACATCAATCTCGTCTTCTGATTCGTCCAAGGCCTCTTTAAAGATATTTTCAGAGTATATGTTAAATAATGCCGGTGACAATATGCAACCCTGTCTAACTTCTTTTTCGACTGTGAAAATCTCGGACAGTTCCTTTCCGGTTTTCAATTCCAGGATTAGTTTCCCATGTGGGACTTTATCAAATGTCTTCTCGAAATAAATAGAACATGTATACTCATCGCAGTTGTCATCCCTGGCTCTCTGTATTAGAACTTGCAAACTAAAAAGTGCTTCTCTCGTTCCGATTCCTGCTCTGAATCCAAATTGAACTTCACTCAATTGTTCTTCTAATTTGGTGTATATGCGCGAGTGAATGATATTAAGGAGTACTTTAAGTAGGGGAACCTGGCCTAAAATGACATACTACTTTTTTGTCGTCCAAATTTTTTTTTTATTTTTTTAATAAAAATTTAAAAAAACATAAATGTTGTTCATTGTTTAGAAGTAGAACAGATCATGGAACATAAAACTCTAACAACACAATATTTTTTAATTAAAAAAAGGAAACAAAATAAACGTTGCTATGTCATTTTATCCAAGTATATTCGGCTAAAACGACACACTCACATGGATAAAATGTCATATAAACTAAATTAGCAAAGTTCACAAATAAATTTTTTGCACGATTTTGAGATACCAGCACAATCACAGTGTGCCCATTTTGAGCATTTTTGGCACATAATGCAGAATTCTTTGGACCTTGAATGGGAGTACAAACTGTTACAATATAAACATGGAGGATTATTTTCGTCTTCGTCATCATCTGACACAATGGTCTTTGTTTCCTCGTCGCGATCTTGTGTCATTAAAGTCAGATTCTTAATTGCTCGCTTTGCAGCTTGACGTTTTTCTGTATCTCGCTTCTCGAGTGCTTTGGCTTTTTGTTCTTTCATATTTGGGGTAGCCGTTAGAACTTTTGTTCCTTCTGATTTTCTTTTTTTGGAGCGTGACTGGATACCTGAACACGATGGAAGAGGTGAAATGTCAAGTGGACGAATACCAGGATTAATCGAAGAACAACTTTCAAGTGAGTTTGGTCTAGGTGTAGAAACCGGTTTGTTTCCTTGATCTGGAAAATCTTGATGTCGCAAAACATTATCATTCTCTTCTTTTGACTCTGTTAGGGGTTGAATTGCAACTTATTCTTGAATATCTGTTATTTTGGAAGGATTAAATAAATAATCAGGGAATATGTCGGGATTAAGGGGCCAAATTCCAGTCTTTAAAAATCCACTAACGGCATTTTGGTGTGTAGCTGCTTTTCCATACGCTGTAACAAATAATCCTCCAACTTGGTATTGAGAAACTGTTCTGCCTGGATGACACTTCATCTACTTGGTAACTTCTTGATCATAGTAGCTCTTTAATGGACCAAAGAAACATACATCTAACGGCTGTAGACGATGGGTACAGTGCGG